GGAAAATCTAGTAAATCACATCATCATCAACAGCCTTTAATAGTCCACTGCTGAACATAGGCCTCTTCTTAGAAAGGTTTTGATCTACTATACCACGCTGGCCAGGCGGGTTGGTATAGGGTTTGTGTCCTACGAGGCGGGTAAACTTTTTGAGAGGGTGCTTTCTGCCCGCATCGTCCGGCACCTTTGCGAGGTTGGCCCCGATCTGTCGGACGCCCAATTCGGTTTCCGAGCGGTGCGATGCGCCTTAGGGCCGTGACCGAGGAGGCCGTGAGCTGCGGCGGAGTGGTGTTGGCGGTGTCCTTGGACATCGCCAACGCCTTCAATAGTCTGCCATTCAGCTGCATCAGGGAAGCGCTCCGCTACCACGGAGTGCCGGAGTACCTGAGGCGGCTGGTGGCAGACTACCTTGAGGAGCGAACCGTCATGTACGAGGACCGAGATGGCGTCTTGAGACGCAGGGCCATGTCGTGCGGTGTTCCGCAGGGGTCTGTCCTAGGACCACTCCTGTGGAACATTGGATACGACTGGGCCCTACGAGGGCGTCTCCCCCCCGGGCTGGGTGTACTCTGCTACGCAGATGACACTTTAGTCACGGCCCGGGGGGCTAACTTCCAGGAGGCGGCGCGCCTGGCCGCCACGGGAGTTTCCCAGGTGGTCGGGCGCATTGAGGCGTTGGGATTACGGGTGGCCCTGGATAAGACGGAGGCCCTATTATTTCATGGGCCCCGTCGTGGTCCGCCCGCCGGCGCCTCAATCGAGGTCGGCTCGGTCCTCGTACCGGTCCGGGCCCAGATGAGGTACCTGGGTCTGGTCCTAGACGGTAGGTGGCTCTTCGACGAGCACTTCCGACAGCTTGGTCCGAAGCTGGTGGACACTGCCTCCGCCCTAGGGCGACTTTTGCCCAATTTGGGCGGGGCCAGTGTTCCCACGAGGCGGCTGTACGCGGGGGTTGTCCGGTCCATGGCGCTTTATGGTGCACCGGTGTGGGTGGCGGCTCTGACCGCCCCGAATAGGGCGCGCCTCTGGCGCCCCCAGAGGATATTGGCAGTCAGAGCCATACGCGGATACCGCACGGTGTCCACCGAGGCGGCTTGCGCCTTGGCCGGAACACCCCCGTGGGATTTGGAGGCGGAAGTGCTCGCCGAAGTTTATCGGCGAGTGGCTGACTTCCGGGCGGAGAGCGGATTTCGCCCTCCGCCCGAAGACGTGCGCGAGTGGCGCGAAGCCGCTCGCCGAGCCACCATGGTTAGATGGTCGTTCCGGCTGGAGACTCCACGCGCTGGCTTCGCCGCCGTGGAGGCTCTCCAGCCGGTCATAGCCGAGTGGGCAGGGCGGCAGCACGGGGCCCTTTCCTTCCGGCTGACGCAGGTGCTTTCCGGGCACGGTTGCTTCGGAAAGTACCTGCACTCGGTCACTAGGAGGGAACTGAGTCCCGCCTGCCACCACTGCGACTGCAGTGAGGACTCGGCCCAGCACACGCTGGCGGTCTGCCCCGCATGGGCGACGCAGCGCCGGGCCCTCACTGCAGTCATCGGAGCAGATCTCTCGCTACCGGCCGTAATTCGCTCCATGGCCGGTAGCGACAGTTGTTTTACCGCGGTCGCAACCTTCTGCGAGGAGGTAATCTCGCAGAAGGAGGCGGCGGAGAAGGCCCGGGAGGACGACCTCCACTCGGACCTGATCCGCCGCCGGCGAACCGGGCGGCGGAGGCGCGCTTACCTGCGCCTCATGCCGCCCTGAGTGTGGCCGCGGGTGGACGGGGTGGGTTTCCCCTCCACCCGCATTAGTTGGCCAGCCGCGAGGGGGCGGCGTCCGCGTGTGCCGAACGTCGCCTAAAGAGAGGATAATTGAAGACGGAGCCCGCACCAGGAGCGGGCCGGCGCTGGGAGGGGTCCAGAAGGCGATAACTACCTGGACCCCTCCTAAACTGGAAGCGCAAAGAGGGCACACCGTGTGGTTTTAGTCGGTTCGAGTCCGACACACTGCCCCGCCGCAAACCCCGGTGGGGTGACGGTCCGAGGGGATTTCCACACGTTAAAAAAAAAAAAAAAAAAAAGGGTTTGTGTCCTGCGTTGTTTTTCGCCCTTAGTCGGCTCTTACGACACCCACGGGATGAATTGGGGTAGTGACATTCCGTATTCTTAATCCGTCACTACACGGACAAATCTAGTAAATGCATAAACAAAAAAAAGAAGTTTATTCACATTATTAAAATTCAATTTTTCAACATGTTACATGGAACTTATTAGGCACATTAGAGAATTCCAATTATTTATACTGTTTAACAAATTAATGTATGTATACGTCCAGCTAATAAAAATAGTACGTTGTGAGACTTAATAACTATGAAATTGTCGTCGCCGATTAATCACTTCTAATGAGTGGTGATTACAGTGATGAGAGCTGATCACGTAGCTGAAGCTACAGCCACGTGCGTCAATCAACGTCTAAGCAATTTTCTATCACTGTCATTTATGTAACTAGTCACCGTATTGTCATCTCTGTTAATAATCTGTTATCTGTGTACTCACTGCGTCAAAAACAGTCTAGGTGTCATTACACCTAGTATAACACACACATCTTGTCTCAGTTGAGAGAAAAATGCTATGTCAAATACTTTATCCTATGATTGGACTAACATTATGGGAAAACGAGGAAATCAGTTATTTTCCACTAGGACTATTCTCCTTTGTTGCTATTTTAGAACAGTGATCATACAAGAGGGGTTAATGACCTAAAATTTTCAACAGCTATCTAAAAATACATCAAGAAATATTTATTTATTTTTTTAAAAGACAACGCCCGCATTAGGAATAAATCCTGTGTCGCGGGGGACTTTACAAACATACAAGAAACGGACACAAAGAACACCCAGACTCAGAACAACAATTTGTGGATCACACAAAGTGTCGTCCCATGTGGGGTTTGAACCCACAACACTCGGCGTAGTAGGAAGTGGCGTGGCGACCGCTTAAACCACTACGCCATCCGTGCAGTCAATAGTTATGTAGTCTTTTCAAATGATGTATTTAATTCAATATTTACAGAAATTGTAATGACAAAGCGATTTTTTTATAAAAACGACATTAAATGAAGCAGACTTCTGAAACTCATTAACAATCGTCTTCTTACCAAGTAAACAAAACAATTATATTGAAACAGGCCAAGAGTAGGTTGATTTTGCTATCTATTTAATTCAATTATTGTTTTTCTAATGGATTGCAAGTTGGTAGCGTATTTACGGTAGGTGGATTCAAAGTAAGACTTAATTTTAAGAGGCCTATAAAATCTATCCTAATATTATAAATGCAAAAGTGACTGTTTATATGTTACGCTTCGGCGCCTTAAAACTCGGCCGTTCATTATGAAATTCTGCGTAATGTTGCGCGCGTACACGTTGTCAGACGCCCATAAAAAGAAAACGTACTCTTCCAGAGGGATAATAAAAATTGAAAAAGTTGCGAGCTACGCAGAGGACGAGAATTGCAATAAGTGGGTGAAATTTTCTTTATAAAACCATCAAAAATGAAATACACTCTGTGCTCATAGATGTAATAAATAAAAACGACAGTATCTATATTTTCAAGGGTTAAATAATGTGGACAGAACTATCATGTTTTTTTTTAAGTTAGAGGGGGCAGATGAGCAGACGGGTCACCTGATGGAAAGTGACTATCGCCGCCCATGAACGTCTGCAACACAGGAGTCACAAATAATATTACGTAGAAACGTATTGGTATCGTACATAGCCAGTGTGTTATGTTAAACGGCTCTTAACAAAGGGCGCATGAGATAGTTCTATTTATGTTATAGAACCTTATGATGGTGTATTTATTGTCTATGAGATTGACACTACATATCGTGATTGTTTTGTTTCTTTTGAGTTATAATATATTTTTAAAGTTAAATAAGTGTGGAAGCCTAAAATCAATCTAAGTGGCTTGCAATGGGAGACGCCTATGTCCAGCAGTGGACTCCGATAGGCTGATGATGAAGTGTGGAAAAAAAAATACGAATGAACCTTTTAATGTTTATGATCAAGTGCCAACCGTTAACAGCTTAGCTAAAGTGCTATCTTGAGGATTGTTATATAAAATCCTATAAAATATATTTGATATAGCGTTGAACTCGTTATAGTTACTGTTAGATGTCAGATATCAAATCAGTTAAGTTTATTGATCTGTACTAATTGAAGCTATTTATAACGGTGCAATTAATGTAATCTTATACTACAATTTCTATAACAGTAACAGAATAAGTAGGGTTATATGGGCACCTAATAGGCATTGGGTCTGTTTAAAATAACTAGGTCGACGAAACTGGATCAAAAACTGAAAAATATAATAATCGGCAGAGGGTTACGTTCAACAGCGAACGTCATGTGGTTTAGAAAAAATACTCAAGTGTTATAAAAATGTGTAGGTATATTTTTGTTTTAACATAAATTAATTTTAGCATGATTTTCAATTAAAAAAAGCAAGGCTGAAAAATGAAAGTATTTTATACTTCAAAAAGTGTTAAATATTAATAATTTAAACGCTGTTCTGCTGGCTTTGCAGGCTGTTCAACCGAATTACTTTATTTAAAATGTCGTTTATATATTCTGCCCGTGTAAAGATACAAAGGCGCCTCAACTTTAGGGTAATCACACAAACTAAAATTTTACGGTTTTTGATAATTGAACTCTTAAGTTGTAAGTTAGGTAGTACAGTGACCTAATTATATCACCGTGTGTCTTTATAAGCAAATTTTGTGCTATTTTTTTACATTATATTGTTTATATAAACATTTTGCGCATTTTAATTGGTATAGACTATGTTAGTTGTTGGTCGTATGACACAAAAACGATAATAATAATTGGTCGTAGAAGTAGATATAAGCGTTACACAATAGGCCGACTATTTCCCCATCATAGTTTTAATCGATAAGCTTTGAACTCAGTAGTTGTAAGTAAGTATATGTGTGTTTTGTACAACCATGGTTCTTATGAATTGCAGGTGTTGGCGGCCCTTGCCGCTCAGTCCATCAACATTTCGGTGGGCTTCTGTCAAGGTTTCTCAGCTGTGCTTCTGCCTCAGTACACACATGAATATCCAGCGATAACCTACGAGCAAGCCTCATGGATCGGTACGTATCTATTAAACTGATGATCTTAGCCTTCATTATAAAAAAAAAAATCCTGAATAAGTCGTGCGCTTTATTTCCTGTTCATGTCTCCGCAATGTGTGATCCTATTCCGATCCGATCTAAATTAAATGCGCAAAAGTTAAAATTCCGAAAAATCCGAGGCAGAATAAAAATTATTAGTAATAGAATTTACAAAGGAAACAACACGAACCTTATATCATGGCTTTATTTATTTTAATTGTCATTTTTAAATTATTTACTTGGATTCCTAGCAGTTACAGTAGCAGTACAGTAGACAACGCTTACTTATATGTTGCAAGCACATGAAAATAGTTTTGATGTTTTCTTTATAATTTACATCTTAACAAAAAATCAAAATGTATCGTCACGTGTATTAAAAGGATTTGGCAAGCGAGCGTTGTTTATATTTTATTTTGGGATCTGTTATTTGTTTACTGTGTCGACGGCTCGAAAGGGAAGCTAAAAATAAATATGTGTAGTTTGGTTACACGTCACGGGGAAATTTGTAATAATTTAGATTATCATACAATTTGAATACTTTTATCCCATTGTGGTATATTAGATTGTGTAGTGTTTAACTTAGCTACCATAAAAGATACTTCTAATATAAATTTGTTTTTCAAGAACATTTTAATTTCGATCCACCCATCACATGCCCAACGATAAATTCTAAACAGATTAAAGCTTTTATTACTTCTATAACACGGTAACATGTAAATAGTTTGTTACCATATAAATAGCGTATCGAATATACAATAGAAACAAATATTTAGCTGAAACGACAACATCGTCGTTTAGATTTGAAAAAACTAATTGATTATGTTCACTTCATAGACTTCCATTTATAATTTTCTTGGGATACTTTTTATATATTTTAGTAGAACTACACAACTACACATAACTACTTCAAAACTACATTTTTAGGTGATACGCTTACCAACAAAGAACATAATATCAGTTATTATGTAACATGCTTGTCGCTAACGAGTTAAACAAATTGACTTTGTTTAGTAAACGGCTGTGTGTACACCGCGCAAAGATACCGGCGTGTGCACAGCCACACATTATTATTTTGAACTAGGAGATAAGCAGCCGTGAGGGGGTCAGGGGTGCTAAGCTAGAGGCGATATTGCAGCGCACGGATGCGGAACTAGGGGAGAACAAGTTATTGCGGTTTGAATTCACTTCAGGCAACGATTCTATATATATAAACTAGATATTATTACTAGCTAGATAACTTTGAAAATGACGAACTTACAGACAACCGTTCCATCCTTTTTTCGCCCCCTTAGGAGTGACATTTTTAAAAATCTTTTCTTAGAGGGTGCTTACAGCATAAGAAGCATCAGCTGTCACAATTTCAAGTTTGTAGTACCAGTGCTTTGGCCAATGAATGGCTAATGAATCAATCAGTCAGGGCAAGTGGTTTTATATGTACAGATGTTTTATATCATAGGTCTTCATTGAACCTGTGTCTAACAAAATATAATAACATTTAAAACAAATCTCGTTTTTCAATAGCAGGGGGCAACTCTGATCCCCGGGATAGGGCTTGGCTAGGCGCGGCGTCGATTCGGGAGGGGGCTTGAAATAACATGGTCAGGGTCCTCCCCAGAGCAGGGCGCCTGAGACCGGCTGTCGGGGTGGTTTTTAGTGGAAACACCACATACCCTGGCTCCTGCGTTCCTGAGGAGCCGGAGATCCCAAGGGATTTTCCACAGAGTCAACAAAAAAAAAGGGGGCAACTCAGTTGCTCGTTTCGCAGATTCGCCGAAAGCAACGAATGACTGCTACTTGCGAGTTTACCTTACTTCTTGTCTTTCACCATGTCATGTTCGTCTTTTAGGTATTATGGTGTTTTCATGATATTACTATAACTATTCTTTCTATTCCAGCCAGTTTAGGTGTGATATCGAATCCTATTGGAGCGTTACTGGGCGGCATGTTGGTCGACGCGGTTGGCAGAAGGCTCCTATTGGAGTCTATAGTCCTGCCCAATCTCGTGGGATGGCTCGTCATAGCCTTCTCGGAGACCTACGTCTACCTTTGTATTGGAAGGTTTATCACAGGATTTACTATTGGTGAGTAGTTTAAAAATACCCTTCGAATAAACACTAAATGTCTATGAACTATAATTTCTTTTTTTTATGTGTAAATCTCCGACTCAGTTGGCATATGACATATAACAATATATGGCATATAACAAATGACATTCAATACCTGGACATCTGGCAGTTCGTCAGGCTAAGTAATTTATCCAAGGACTTCAATGAGAGAGAATTCTTTAATTGTGTGGCTCCTATCTTGCAAGAATATTATTAAGGTTGTTTTCGCTGTATTTTCCCATTTCTTGCGATATTAAATAAAACAATAATATTGTGTTCGACAGCTTGTTAACTCAAAATTGTTTGTCATGCTACTTTAGCGATAATAATATCATTATCCACTGTACAAGACATAATGTGTGCAATTTTATAAATTGTCAAACAATAAAGGGAAATAAATAAGTAAGAGTGAAATACTGGGTGGAATCTCAAATGTAACATTTCCTGGTGAACTCGTTAATTTAAATTTATTTCCAATTGCAGGTATGTCTACCGTATCCTACATATACGTTGCTGAGATCACGACTCCAGAAAAACGCGGCGTTCTTAGCGCCCTAGGACCAGGCCTCGTCTCAACCGGCATCTTCATCGTCTACTTCTTAGGGGCATTCATTCATTGGAGGAAAATAGCAGCCATTTGTGCTGGAGTGTCTCTGCTCACCCCATTCCTCATGTACTTCGTCCCCGAGTCCCCCCTGTGGCTCGCTTCAAAAGGCCACATGAAAGAAGCCTACAGTGCCATGTTTTGGCTTCGTCAAAACAACAATACGGCACAACAAGAGCTCATGGAATTCACCAAAGACAGAAAAAGTGGAGAAACCATGACCTTTGGACAGAAAATGAGTCTCTTTAAAAGACGAAGTGTCGTCAAACCCTTCGCTTTGCTCATCATTTTCTTTATTTTCCAAGAGATGTCTGGAATATACGTGATATTGTACTATGCTGTGGATTTCTTCAAGTCAGTTGGAACGAGTGTCAATGAATTCACAGCCTCCATTATAGTTGGTGGGGTCAGAGTAATTATGGGAGCTGTAGGAGCTTGTTTAATCAACAGCTTCAGAAGAAAAACCTTGGCAGCCACTTCAGGACTATTACTCGGCATTGCTATGCTCGGAGCGGCCATTTGTGACAGTTTAAACGGACCTCCATTAGTGAAACTGGCTTGTGTTTTGTTACATGTGTCCTTCAGTATGGTAGGGTTTCTACAGCTTCCCTGGATCATGTCCGGGGAATTGTACCCTCAAGATATTAGAGGGCTCATGTCCGGGGCTACGTCGTGTTGTGCCTATGTTTTGATCTTCTTTAACATTAAGACTTACCCTCAACTCGAGAATCTGTTAACGAGTAATGGAACTCTATACCTCTTCGGAGGCTTCGCGCTTCTGGGAGCCGCGTATTGTTACTTTTTCCTGCCAGAAACTAAAGGCAAATCTTTGACTGAAATTATGAAACAGTTCGACGAAGATAAGAAGGACGCAGACCCAGAAGCTGGGTACGTGAAAGAGAAACCTGCGGATGAAGGGAAACCAGTACAAAGGCGGCACAGTGCGGGGGCGGCAGTGTCATTAGAGAAGAGGCCGTCGTGGATACAAGAAGACTGCAAGAAAACGTATCGCGAGTAACCTTTTCAGGTCTCATGCCTGCCTAGTACTTTTAGCTGTAAAATGTTAAAGTATCCGCTACAAGAAAATAGAAAAATTACTACTCCGCTAATTGTACGTCAGGTACATGATTTTATTTATAGCTTAAAAATTTTAAGGCTGTCTTAATTAAAGTCCAAGTGGAAAATGTGATAATCGTGGTTAAAAAACCATCGCCGGTCTCGTGAATAGATGGGTGGCCTACCTAATAAACCTGCTGTGAGTTTTAGGCTTTTGTATGTTTATTTTCTATACATTTTTTGTTTACGATGACAGATCACAAAGTGTGTGATCAAGAAGTGATATAGTTTGTGGTCAGATATCGCGTAAGAGGTCACATATAGTGCGCATTTATCGTTCACAAGGTCACATTTAGTGCGCACTTATCGTTCATGAGGTCACATATTTAGCGTATTTATAATTCATGGCTTAACATATCGTTTACACGTATTGTTTATCGGGTCACGTATGTCACCTCATGAACGATATCATTACTTATTGTACAAAACAAGTAAATAGGAGGAAGCCTGTTCTAACATTACTGAGCACCCCAATTATCCACCAATAATTTAAAATATCTCTGTGTAGGATTTTTAAATGATGTTTTTATAGAAACTTTATATTAATGCATTTATATATTTATAAAGCAAATAATAATTTATTGTTCTTGTAGCGTCGAGTATTTAATATTTATGGTACCAATGAATTTTTAAAGTTAACTATTTTTAATATTAAATTGTTTGTGAAGTTTTGTGATCAGTATTAATCAGAATGTTAATAATAATAATGATTTGTACATTCCGTTAGGTTTTAGGATTATAGTTTGCCTAGTGTTAAGTACAAATTTTGATTACGAAAGAAGGCAATGAAGAAATCTTAAAGTAAACTATTTTATACTTAGGTAAATATATTGTTATAAATTTATTAATATGTGTTTCTTTTTTAACTTACTTATAAACACTGAAAATAGGGTTACTACAACAATTATGGTAATATTTTATACAAATTTTGTTTTATTAGCATCGTAAATCTATTTTCATGATAATGAACCTTGTCCTTGCAAGCAACAAATAAAGTTTCTTATACAAAATTCTTAATTCTCCGACTGTATATAGTTTTATAATTAATTATTATATAATTATAATAATAATATTATCAAATTAAATAGTTGCAGTAACTACACTACGTTTAAAATAAGATTTATTTATTCATCGATTAATTTATAGTGTAATAGTCGGCTGTTACAGTTGAACACAAGGGTCCTGTCATAAACTTAACCACTGTAAAGTAGTATTCCCAATGAATTATGTAACCGGAGCCCAACTCCACCGCACCCCCTACTTCTGGGGGGGGGGGGGGGGGAGCAAAAACTTGTGACTTAAGTTCTAGCCTCCACGAGCGAAGGTGGTCACTTACCATCGGTGACCTGTACGCTTGTTTGCCTCCTATATCACAAAACCCGTTATTTGCCTCTCCTATTACATAAAGTAACAAAGACTATGAAAATTTAATCAGGGTGTATATATGTACTATATACAATAAGCAATATACTAATGTATATGATGAGATATACCAATATAAATAAACTGTGATGGTGAATAAACGAGTGATATTTCAATAAAACTGTTTTATTTTGACACTTCTGTTACTTATATACCTATTACTAGTTATCGCGGTACAAAGTAGCCTAGGTCCTTTTCAAAGAATTAAAGTATCTCTACGCCAAAATTCATTCTAATCAATTCAGCAGTTTAGCCGTAATATTAGTCGGGATTAAATGAGTTTTAACTTCGCTCAGTTCCGTGACGTCTTTTAGACATGAAGATATCTGCGAATTAAGCGAAGTCTAGTAAGTTTTGTAATTTTTTTTTATATGATTGTTGTGTGTACAGACATAAAGGGCCTGTTCGTCTAGTGGTTAGCGACTCTGACTGCTACGCCAGAGGTCGTGGGTTCAATTCCCAACATGGACAAATATTATGTGATGAGCACGATAGTTTGTTAATGTATATGTATGTTGAGATAAGAACACCTAATATCAATTCTTCATCAGAAACAAGGGCCATTTCAGCTTCACTCCCTTTCAATACAGAGTAAAAGATAGAGATAGTCAGTTTGTATAAGACCAAAGTAAAAGCAGGACGCAGCATGTTGAATATAAACAGCCACCGTAGGCCATGAATATGTTCCACAGATCAGACGAGATATTGTACATATTTGTATAAATTACTAAATAACTTTAATTATTTATATTGAATGAAAACCGTAAGAGTTGTCATATTATAAAAATGTGAAAAAGTAGTCAAAAGATATATTACATGTCATGAATTTTATTAAATAATATTTCGAAAGTTTTCTCAAAGATGTCGATAACGTTTTGTTAAACCGATACTAGTAATGCCATCTATGAAATCCGATTGATAACACAAAAACGTGATGTAAACTGGTAATGGAACAAGTCAAGTGCATTGAATGGCAACTAGATGGCGCAACAATGCAGTTAAGTTTATAAATGTCGTTTTTATTACAGATTCAAAATTGATTTTATTTTTAAGACTAAGGATAATATAAGGTAGAATTTCAGCTCCTAAAACGCATCATTTCATATGTCTTTAATAAATTAGTAATCACTAACCTGGATTGTGGAATGCCATACTTGATGCCGACACCCACTCTGGGCAAAGCCTTGATCACCTTTTTCACTGTAGCCTGGTCGGGGAACGCGAAGAATATGGATGCTGGAACACAAAAATGGAACGCATTAAAATTACATTTTATTATGATTTACTGGAGGCAGTGCGACGCAGGATTGTTAAATAGAGGCGCGTATTAAAACGCATGTCTGTTCACAGATTACACAAAAGACTTAATCAATATTGTTTTCTATATCTACAGTACATATAATACTGGTTCTTTGAATTTTAAAATACTCTTTAAAAACTATGTTACTGTTGTAATTATGTTACACTGTAAAACCTCTATTTAAAGTGGATGAACGCTTTATCTATTTAGTGTGAAAGAACTGTGAGTCCGTGAGTGAGTGAGTTAGCTCACTAAGGCTTTTGTCCGTCCGTCTGTTCGTAAAAGCAGTCTGCTAGTTTTAACGAAAGCGTTTTTTTTTTAATTTTATGTTAAAGGGGGCAGACATGCATACGGGTCACCTGATGAAAAGTGACCAACCATGAACGTCTGGAACTCAGGAGTCACAAACGCGTTGCCGGCCTTTTAGGAAGGAGTACGCTCTTTTCTTAAAGGTTTGAAGGTCGTATCGGTCCGGAAATACCGCAGGCGATAACCCGTTCAACAGATTGGTTGTGCGGGGCAAAAAGTGTCTCGAAAAGCCCACAGTAGTGGAGCGCCAACCATTCAGGTGATGAGGATGAAAATTTTGCCGTGTGGAACGATGGCGGAAAGTTGCGGCCGGTATTAGTCCGAAAAATTACTCGGAGCACTCGCCATGATATATGCGATAGAGAATGCAGAGTGAAGCCACATCTCTACGTAACGCTAAGGGATATCGGATAGGTATCGTCCTCTCTCCTCTTCTCTCTACTTTGCTGCTTCTGACAGGGTTCACAACGTGAGCCATTAAGCTAAGTAATATCACCTATACATTGTGAAACGCTTTAGAGTATTGAGTAGGTTTACATAATAAAAGAACGACGTACAAAATAAGGTGAAGTACCCAAGTGATAAGTATGGATCTCATTCTCCAGTATAATAATAGTCTACCACATTCGCATTGCGCCTTCTAGCCCTAAACAAAGCAGAGCTTGTACTATGGGTACCAGACAACTGATATAAGTATATAAATACTTTTTTTTTTATAAAAATATACATACTATACGTAGAAACACCCAAACCAAATCAAACATTAAATGTTCATTCACACAAATGTTTGACTTGAGCAGGAATCGAACCCGCGACCTTACCGTTCCACTAACCACTACGCCATTTGGCTGTTAAGTATATTACATACCTGGTTCTGGTTCACCTGATAAATCAGTTTATATTTTTTTTAGCAGGTTAATCAGTTTAAGATATAAACTATTATTATTATCACAATAAAAACTCGTAGCCGAGTAATTTAGCACATTGCAAAGATAAGCCATCTTATCCAGGTCAGTCTATGGATGGGTGAACATTCTTAACACACTGAAACACCTCTGTGCCTCGAAGAGCACGTTAAGGCGTCGGTCCCGGTTGCCTTACGGACATTTTTGGAGATCGTTACGTTATCGTCCATATACAGTTCGACAACAGTCAGTCTATGGAGCTTCGATTCGCCTAGTACTTGGGTTGTGGAGGTCTGATGGTAAAAAAATAAAGTTTAACCGAACCTAGTTTGGGAAAAAAGGCTCGAAGAAAGATTATGAGACTAAAATACATTCCTTTACGATGTGACACTTACTTCTGCTGGCCAGGAACATTTCGATTGCGACGTTCTGCAACAGGTATCGCCGCGAGAAGATCGCTCGAATCTCGCTGAAGTACCATTTTCCGTGCAGGTGCTCGCAGTATTTCAACACCTGGAAAAGAACAGAAAACAATTCGTTACTATCAATGTACTCTATTTAAAATCAGTCCTATTTTTAATCATGTTTACATTAAATTTAAGTTTCAGTACTTTTTCTTAAAGACATCACCATCATCATCATCATCTTAGCGGAATGATATCACTGCTGGACATAGGCCTCCCTAATATTTGCCACTACAAACAGTCCTGTGCTGCCCGCATCCAACAAAAATTAGTACTAAAATAAATGATATATGTTAATGAGGATCAGGTCTATACGGCCGAAAACGAAAATCTGTAAGTAAATTTCAAGTCTTTATCCCGTGTAATCTTTATCTACTTTTTTAAAGCATCAACGTCATCAAGGCATCACTTCCGACAGCTAGGTATAACAATTGACAATGGTCGATCAGCTATCCGGCTTCATGGTTGACCGATTATCCGGGATGCGGTCGTTTATTCGTGGTATATGCGGTCGATTACGTGGAAACATGGAAATTAACGCTCACGGAATTACCTTAAGTTTCGGATAGGTTGAGTGTACCCTGCAACCCACTGGACAGTGGGCCGTGGCCTTAGGATGACAGAGAGTTAAAGTTAGTCTGTTATCTACGTACTCGCGTTCCTTGTATACACATAATTATAAAATCATGGAATGTTTAAAACTTAAACAGATTTCTGTTTCAGCTCTAATTACTCCTGTTTCTTAATCATCCCAGGGCTTGGTACTTTCATTATGAAAAGGTCATAGTTCTGAGCATTACAGATGTGCAAGTTTGTGCATTCACATTTTAAAGCACCTTCTAGAAGATTGAACTGTGTGACTGCACTAGTGGTCAGAGAGATACATAGAGTACTCTTGTCGTTTAGATTTAATTATAAATACAAAAAGCAATAAAAAACTCTTTTATTATTGAACTTCCAATTGCCTAACCCAATTATCCTATTTATAGTGCCCGGTTAACTTAAATAGGCTTGCAAACAATAAATATGGGCGGTATAATACGCCTCTGCTTATGCGTGTATGTAGGTATGTAATAAAAGACAGTGTAAAAATAACATATAAAACTTTTAATTGCCGCCTCATTTTGTAAATGTCATTAAAACCAGTGTCACGTTTAAAATGGAGACATAAACTCAGTCGCATTAAAGTCGTTAGTCATAAGTTATCCGCGAGATGGCGCTGCGTGTACAACGAAGATACGCCGTAAACGTGAGAATGCTTGGGAGTAATAAAAAGTTCGTTAACAGTAATTTATTTGTACAATAATTGTGTAAATCAAGTGCGGGGACGACGACACATATACTTTTAATGTGTTTCTCTGATGGTCACTTTGAGTAATGTCGTCACGTGTAGTTTTTGGACTTCTATATCCTATGTTTAAACTATGTCAGCCTACGTAAGGTAGATTTATGTCCTAGGTAGGATAAAGCTTGAAGATAAATTACGATTATATCAAATGATTTGCAAATATGGTTTTAGCTCGAAGCGAATCGTGATCAGAATATTATAATTTTTTGGTTTGTAACATCTTTCCTTTAAATATTTTCTGCAATCTTTATGAGTAATTTTGTGAAAAGGGTCGGAAGTGGATAACAGTGTAACCCGGTAAAACGCGCAGTGTTAGATTACGATTACGCGGGACAACAGCACTGCAAAAAAAGGAAAACTTGAAATAAACCCTATACCCGTCTCGCCAAAGGAGAGGCCTATGTCCAACAGTGGACTATTGATATAGGCTGTTGATAATGACGAATGAGTGCGCGCGAGACTAAGGGTAAGGGTTGCTTGTTTTATTTTTAAAACAAAAAAGTAATGTAGTACTAATTTATCATTAGAACTATCTAGTTAAGTTTAAAAGAGTGACTGAATTGGTTTGCTTGATTTCTTCTCATAAGCTGCATCCATTAAATTTACCGGTTCTAAATTGATATTATCCGTTTTTCGTTTTTTTTTTAAATTTTACATTGGCATGTGCATCTATAATTATTATGTTAATCATGTTTAAAAAAGACAATGGATTGTTTTGATTAATTTATTACTATTTATAAATTTATAAAATACATAAATTAAATTTCAGTTTAGGGGCTTTTGATCTGGTCACATTAGTAGTACGCTTGTTGATATCTGCAACTAAGTTCCATAGGTTTTAGGTTTAAGTCACGATTGTACTAAGTCTAATATTTATAGGCGCTGTCCGACTAAAGAATACTCTGTTATTTACTAAAACAAAATTAGCAATTACGAAGGTAACGTCATCATCATCATCATCAGCCTATCGCAGTCCACTGCTGGACATAGGCCTCTCCCATTATACTTAAGATTACTTAAGATTTCTTTTCTTCAAATAAGTATATAACTATGCATTTTTTTAACCTGAAAACGTAAAATTTTATGTTTCATGTTTAACATTTATTGTGAAAAGGGTTTCTTAAATCTCTGTGTAAAAAGAAATATTAAATTAATGGTAAGAAAGGAATTTGGGAAAAAATATACCTAAAAGTTGTCTAATGGTGGCTTGCACACAGTGGCTTTTAGTCGGTTCGATTCAGACACACCAACGCGTCGATAGTTGCTTTTTAAATGTTTGAAATAGGTAAATCACTTTGCTTCTGAAATGTATACGTGTTGTAATAACATGGAGTTCAATGGAAATAAAAGGGATCTAAAACTGTGATCCAACAGAAACAAATCAAAGATTTCGAAAAAAAGTTCGTACAAATATTGATCCTTATCTGTATATCAGCCAAACATTTTTTTTCCTTTCTTAGCTTCTATTGGTCAAACAAGCTAACTATAATGTTTTATATTGGTTTAGATTTACTCTTACAGTATTCATACTGAGATAGGTAACGAAAATATACATAACATGTATAACCATAGAATTATTGAACCTGTCTAGTACGTGGCAACAAAAGCGCAGCCATTGTTTAAACCGCACATACAAGTGTCATATTCCCATGCATTGTCCTCAGAGCGTACTAATTGGCACTGAAGATGGATTGCCGCTTTGATTCTATGGAGCGGTCCTGGGGCCCATTGTGTACTGAGAGTGCGACATGTGGCGGTAATGTTGGCCCCACTGATTTCTGTTGTCGCTACACTAATTTGAATTTTTTATTAAAAGTAATGGTGAGGAATATACTCTCGTAGTTTTTTTTTTAATGTAGTTTTTCAGTGGAAGCAGATCAGATTCTTGTCAGAGGAAATTTCGAGTACTTACCTCAGTTATAAGGCGAGACGTTAAGTTTCTAAAAATAATATCAGAAATATTTAATGGAATATAGTTATGTTGTGGTTGTTGTTGAGTCTTTAGTTCGGCTGTAGACGGCGATAGTCTGATGATGATGTAGTGGTTTTATAGTGTTTTTTCAAACGAGCAGACGGATCACCTGCAACGCAAGAGGCAAAGGTGCTTTGCCACCCTTCGAGTCCTTAACAATCAGGGGTTTCAGCTCCGGTAACTTATTAAAGAATTGTTTAACACAGGCTCTCAGTGAGGCAGTGGTAAATATCACTCCGGTCGAGCCGGCCCATTTGTGTTGCCTTTCCCACGGAAAGATATGTACTAAATTCATTCTTCTAGTCTATTACAATATCCCAGAAAACCAATCACAAGATGTTCTGTGAAATCTTTTTATTCTACGACGCATAGTTTTAGTTTTATGACACTATAACCTTTATGTAAACCACTTAGTGACTAGTTAATAAAAGCTTTCATTACCACACCAGTCTGTTTGCACTTAGCATTGAGATCAATTCAAGCATCATTACGCACTTCAACAAAACAAACAAAGCGTTATAGCATTCTCTTTATACACCTATTCAACACCGAGAGTCCTCTCCCCTCGGGAAAAAAACTGCAATGTGAATATAAAACACGACGCCCTCTGATATCAACCCTCGTCAAATATACTGAATAAACATTAAGAATTTGAGTAATTTACCAATTAAGAATCATTTATACTAATATTCTGAACTTGAAGAGATTGTTTGTATGTTTACAATCGATAATCTCTGGAATTATCAGTCAGATTCGTATGATTTCTTTTGTTTTATAAAAAGTATTTTTTAAGAAGTAATATAAGATACAAAACATGACCCGGACGAGATCAGCAGCACCCATAACTGTAGATGAAACTGCGGTGAACGTCTAGAAAAGTATTCCTTCTACTATTAAATGGTAAATTTCACTTATAGCTTTAAAACGGTAGTTTTTAATACCTCTGACTTGCAAGACAAGATATTTATAAATTATAGTTTAAAAACTAAAAAACACGCTTTTGTAACTATTCGAACTAAAAAGTAGAAAATAATTTTCTATTAAGTTAAAAAACAAAAACATTTTATCCATTGACTGTGTACGACCTATTTCTTAACGTTCCACGGATTCACCGCCAAACGTATACCTGATAGATGAGGGCAACACATGCGACTGCGACAGCGCCTTTTTTTTTTTTTTCCGTGCGGAAATCCCCTCGGATACCACCTGTCGGTGGCATGTCGGACTCGAACCGACTAAAACCGCACGCCTTCGCCGGGTACTAATAGCCGGGGAACCAGGTATACCCTAGAAAGGAAGGCCCTGGTGCCCCGACATACCTCGGGTCATCTACAGACGAGTAGACGACCCCCGCCCCGTGTGGGAACCCCATGTTCCCTGTGCTCCCTGGAAGCGAGCGCGCTTCGCAACGCGCTCGCCGCCACCCCGGCCTGCTTCTGCTAGGGTGACAGATGGCCTCACCTGTCACCCCCAGGCCTGCGCTTATGGAGGACGAAGGTCGTTCTGCGACCTCCGGCGCCTGAGTCGCCTGCGCTGCCTGGCCCGTGCCCGGGCCTGGCGGGCCGGGAGAGTTCTAAACCTCTCCCGGTCCAGCTCCGCCGTCTCCTTCGCGAGCATAACTTGCTCGCAGAAGGAGACTGCAGAGTTCCACGCACTCTCGCTCCGCACGATAGCCGCAATCAGGCTATCGAGCGAGAGAACTCCCACTCCGATGGCCGCCACGAGGTCTCGCCTCTGCTCAACCCACGCCGGGCACTCTGCCAGCGTGTGGAGAGCCGTGTCGCGCCTGGAGATTCAAACCCAGGTATACGTTTGGGGGTTTAGGGTTTAATGGATCAATGATATTATCGTAAAATGTGGTGCTGGATCTCAATTGTTGTACAAGTATTTTGTTGTCAAATTTTGGTAAAAGTTATTACATATATCTATATCAATACAAAAAAAATGTAAGATTCTGTTTGTAATGTCAAAATAATAGGTTTTTTTCATGCTTCCATGGTTATTTGCACGTTTCCTATGCCAAAAACCAGCTTCAATATGTTTTGTCTGTCTATCTCTTTGTTCCGGCTAATCTTACAAAACGGCTGGACGGAAGGTGTCTATATAAGGAGTAACTTAGGCTATTTTTTCTCTCAGAAAAAACCTATAAAATTTTGCTCGGTCCGGAAATCGAACCCACTAAGGAAGCGCTTAATTGGGACTAATCCCACCCACACGCCCACCACTGTAACTCCTGGACACCAGGATCCACAGCAGTGACCCACGAACACACCGAGTTATGACACTCGGGAAGAAGGAAGAAATTAAACTGTCTTGGAACCCGCAACGAAATTAATCAGAAGAAAATTGGAGGA